TGAGTTGCGCCGATTGCTCACCATCTGGTGATCCGTCTACTCGTTTACCAGCTCATTCCATAAAAAAGCAAATAAAAACCTCGTTAACTCGTACCCCGCCCAGCTGCACTTGCATATTGTGAATTATGAGGGCAATATAGCGAAACAAGTAACTAGTTGATATAACTAAGTTGTAACTTGATTAGCGCCCCTCCGGCCAACCAGCCATATTAAATTCATGTTGTTTTGATAACTTGCACATTGCTTTAACTTAAGCTGGTGTTCAGACGACTGTTTAGGTACATAATATTAAACGTATAATGAAATATTGGAAATAGAATAATTGCAACGTTGTAGCACGAGTTTTATTGTATCCACAATCTATTTAACTTCTAAGTTATTAAATAAAGTTTTTCGAAATTGGATAGTTTTCCTCAATCAAAAATATGTATAGGTACCATTCATAAATCTAATAGAATAGAGCATACTATAACTCTAATATGAATTAGTTTAAAGCACAGTTACAGAATATTCTGCTATAATAATAATGAACTAAGTAAGCTGTTTTTACTGAATGCTATAAGTGAGAGTTACACATTTTTATAAACAGAAAATAGTAGTGGTAAACTAACTATACGTTTCGTACTCACTACGCAAGTCATAGATACGTGCCGATTCGGAGTCGCGGAGAACCTAACGGGGCTCCGGCTCGACGTGCAGGAGAAGGAACGGGGTGGTTTTTAGTCAGTAAGAGTCTGACACTTCCTCCCGCCTCACCCAGGCGGGAACAGTCATTCGATGATTTTCCCCCCTTAAAAAAAAAGTCATAGATACGCAGAGATAACCCAGTACGCGCTACGTGTCACCCACGCTACGCATGCTTCGTAGCTATTTTTATTATTACCAGTAGGGATGTTTCACTACGGCGTAGCAGAGATGCCACGCGCTACGAACCGAATACACGCGCTCGGAATAAATATTGACAGCATTCCGTATGTTCGATACAGTTATTTATCTTACTACACAGATATTAATAGTTCATGTGCACATTTGCTTATTATTTGTGGTTTTTTTTTCATTTTTATGTCCGTTCCTTGATATGTGTAATATTCATAAAGAATTTCCAAACCTCAGACAATTCTAGAGAAACGCACACGCAACTAAGTAAATTAACCCTTTAGTTTTATTATAGTAGTTCTAAGATTACGTAATGTTTATTTACATAACATAACATCACGCCTTTTATCCCCGAAGGGGTAGGCAGAGGTGCACACAGAAGTAACACCCACTTTTCACTATTTATGTTATGAGTCCGATGTAATAGGGGGTGAGCCTATTGCCATATACCGGGCACATTTCCAGACCCCGTGCTACTACTGAGATTTTAAATCCTAGTAATACTTTGCTCGACCCGGGAATCGAACCCGAGACCCCTTGCTCGGCAGTCGCACTTGCGACCACTCGGCCAACGAGACAGTCCTATAAGTATCAGTAATGTATATTTATATGCTTATTTTTCAGACTTCATCATAATCTCTTATTGTCTGACTTTATGAAATGCTTTATCCGTATTAAATCTGTCGTCTGAATACGATCTTAATACCCTTTTGTATTAAATTAAGCTTGCGGTGAATGAACTGACAGACGGTGGTATGGCGATGAAGTATTAACTTTATTATATTCATCTTTTTCATTATATTTTAATTAGTTGCGTAACTTTTGTCTTTTAAACTAGAGTAAAGGGTTTAAAGTTTTGCCACCTATCATTCGCATTGCGTTATACATTTTACTATAGGTACAAAGAAAAATTTTTTAGGCTTCTGAAACCAAAAGAGTGATATGAAAAAACTTTTACCATTAACTTTTCAAAGAGAAGATAAAGTAGGATGATTTTGAGACTCGATAAATCGAAATTATATACGAGCAAGGCCACAGAAGGAAATCTAGTAAAATATTTTCCGATAAAATGTGATGTCGCGAACTCAATTCTCAAGTCATTAAAACTCTAATTTGTTTTTTCTGTTGACTTTCATAAGTTGGGTTGACTAGGAAATTATTTCTAGTAATTTGCATTTACCAAACTTTTAGGCGGCATAACCTATAAACGATTTAGGTATGTCAAAATTATAACCTAAAAACAACTGTAATATTTTTTTTAATATTTGATGGGCCGCCATCTGACCACTATCTCGCCTGGTGGTAAGCAATGATGCGGCCTACGATGGAGCACGTATGTCCATAAGCAACCTATTCACTCGGGCCTTGAAGACACCCACGTTGTTGAAGTACCCTTTAGGAAACACAGACTCTGGTAAAGAATTCCATTCTGTAGCAGTCAAATAATCAAGTAATCTCCAATCCTACTAAATATGGAAATTATGACAAATTCGTTAAAGTATACGAAGTGCTTGTGATAAGACGAGGCGCCTGACCCATAACCCAGCACAGGAATTACTTTACCTGTTTTTGATATCAATTTTCATGAAATTCATTTTTATGGAATAAACCGGTAAACGGGCAGACGGATCACCTGATGGTAAGCAATCAAACATGGACACCTGAAACACCGGGTGTGTTAAAAAAGCGTTATCGACCTATTTTGGGGATTAGGAATCTCAGGATTGTTGGGTATTTGGGTTTCCGATAACCCCACTCATACGACGAAACACAACGCGAGTGTTGTTTCACGTAGGTTTTTTGTGAGGCCGTTCTATCACTACATTTGTCCATTCAAAACATGGCTCTCCCACACTTGACTGAATAAATCTCTGAATGACATTGTATAATAAAATATCATTGCCCTGCGTCGTTTATTCCCTGAAAACTAAGACAGACGTGGTTTATCCCTCTTTTCACTAATATTGTCATCAAATATCTTGCTTCATTAGAAATTGAATAATGAAGGAAATAATTATCTTTCAATACGAAGACATCTGGTGACGAATCCTTAATCATTAATCGGATATAATTGGATTCTAAAAATAGATTACTTGTAATCTTGTCATTCTCGTCAACCGTAGTCCGAGTCTCTCTGATACTCCGTTTTTATTAAAGCTTCATTTATTACTGAAAATGGATGTCTATTTATAACTGTAATTAAGTAATTTTGTGGGATTTAGCCAACAAAAGCTAAAATGTAATCAAATGCTTACACATAGGAATTGTCGTCTCTAAATTATAGTATTACGTAAATAAATGTAATTAAAGGCGGGTATGAGTTAAGTATGAGCCGATTTCTCAAGGCACTGGAAGTAATATTGTTATATAATAGTTTTAATATGGAAGAATTGTCAAATAGTTATTCAAAATTATTGCTCAGTTAAAATGTAATAGGTGTTGTAAAAATCGGCCCTAAGAAGGTTTAGAATCACATCCTTGTTCTAGAGGTAGAAAGTATTTACAGTACCTACCTATTTGGTAGATAAAGCATATTATAGAAAAGGGTATGTAAGGTACGTGCATTGCATAATATTCATCTCAGCCAACCATTTTGGGGATAAAAAGGTTCGATGTCATCTTATTCAGTGTCGTTAATTTCGTTGAAAATAATTTCTCACACAATTACCCTACAAGTTCTCTTGTACCATGATTTATAGCCAATAATAACACCTATTCATTCTGTGATAAACGGGGTTTAATAATGTTAATAACATTAGCAGATACAGCAGATACATTGTAGGTAGGCGTTTCACTTAGATAAGATATATCGCCTCCTTGGTCTTATTTGTTACTGAACAATACTTTTGAGCGCATCTTAAATTACTTTTAGCCTAAGTACATAATATTTCTTTATTTCTAGTACTTACTCAGCTGTTTTTTTTATAAAAGTTATACCTGAACAACTAACGGGTTACCGGGGCTCCGGCTGAAGGAAGGGGGTGGTTTTTAGTCAGTAAGAGTCTGACACTCCCTCCCGCCTCACCCAGGCGGGAGCAGTCATTCGATGATTTTCCCCCCTTAAAAAAAACCTAAACAATGACGTTAAAGAAGGTGATCATAATGTCAATTAAAAATTATGGAAGCACCAAAATAAACAAAGGGTTGTTTATGTGTGCGTGTGTAATGGGACGTTATCGGACTTACGAATATGACAGATGTCCTTCGTTTCAATGTGTGTATGTTCTGCGTGTAAGTCTATAGTAGCCAGGTGCCACAGTCGTTGTTTCAAGATACTGTCCGCCTTTTGTTACGTAACGTAATAGTAAACATAAATATAAGGTTATAAAAGAAAACTATGAATTAAATCGTTTCGAAAAAAGGAAAGTTACTGGGTTTATAAAAAAATCTCAGTAGTAAGACGGAGTCTGGAATTGTGCCCGATATATGGCAATAGGCTCACCCCCTATTACGTGAAAAGTGGCTGTTACTTCTGTGTGCACCTCTGCCTACCCCTTCTGGGATAATAGGCGTGATGTTATGTTATGAAAAAAGGAAAGTTATTTGAAACCGAAAAGAGGAAAGGTTAACTACCTTATCAAAGGACTGTAGAAAAGAAACTGCGAAAAGTCATTATGTCCTGTCGATCAATAGAGGATAAAGTAAAATGATTAATGTGGCAGTCGAAGATATTGCTCCTGAATCAGCTCCCTTAGACGATAGATTCCTTTTTCTGCACACACAACATAATCTTATATTTCTTGATTGATTCTCCTCAGCGTTTCTGTTTTTCACTTTTTGGATTTGTGTAAGTCGTACCGTTTTCCTTATTAAAATACTTATTCGGTACAATTTATTTAAACTGTCAAATACCAAGCGGTCACCGGTGACCGCAACCTATTGTTCTATAATTGTGTCTGCAAAACCGGTACTCGACGAGTTAAAATGGGGGCCTAGGCTAATGCTTTATGGTAATAAGTATTAAAAACTATTCCGTTAGCCCGAAACTTTACCATATTTTTCCTTCGTTAGCTCCAGCTAGAATTATCTTCCTAAACTTCTTTTTCCCTATTACAGTTCTGTCAAAATGATCTACGGTGTGACATGTACTGTCGAATCTATAACATCCATTATTTTTGTTCCAGATGCGAGACTCTAACTCTAAACGGGACGCGGTACTGTGAATGGGGGTACAATGGACTGGGTATCGACTACCAGGTGCTGGCTGGCCCCGCCTTTATGGCAGTGTTCACTGTCGTTGGAGTTATACTTGGCGTGGTCGCTGATAAGTAAGTACTAATATGGAAATGAAAGGACAAAATCTATTAACCCCTTATCTGCCGGTATATGAGACAGAATAGAAAACACATTGTGTCTCGCGTATATGTACGTCCACGGCATACCAGGGGTTAAGGAAGATAATGTTTAGCTAAGTGGTAGCCTAACAAAAAATACCAAGGATGCTATTGGAAACTTAAAACAAGAACCCTTCAAACCTTCTAGGAAAAGGATACTCACTCCTTTATGTACCGACTTTAAAAAAGAAAAATATCGGATGTTCTCAGTTTAACATACATATGTATGTTTGTGTGCAATTATCTGGCTATTGGCTGAACCAATTATCTGGCGATTGGCTGAACCAATTATCTGGCGATTGGCTGAACCAATTATCTGGCGATTGGCTGAACCAATTATCTGGCGATTGGCTGAACCAATTTCGATGTCTGAAAAGTATTTGTTACACTCAGGAGAATGTTTTAGTATATTAATTCTTCTTCTCGATCGCTTGCTTCATTTCTGAAGCTCGTGCCCCTGAAAGGCCTTCATTGCTCTCTGTGTTATTTTCCTCCATCTTGTCCGGTTTTCAGCTTCTCTCAGGGCTTTCGTAACAGAGAGTCCAGTGTAGTGTCCACTTGGTCACACCATCGGCTAGGTGATCGGCCACGTGGTCTCTATAGTATATTAATTAACCGATTTAAAATGGAGGGGGCTGAAGTCGATTTTCCTAAACGTAGTTAAGATTTGAAGGTTGAAAATGAAATTGTAGCTCCTGTGGCATTATGGATGATCACTTACTATGAATTCGTGACACAAAATCTATAGTTCAGGTTCATTTTAGGGTATTTAACTAACTTACCTTGAACCTTCTGAATAAAATTGATTGCAAATCTTCCTCTTTGGAAACATAGAAGAAAAATACTGAATAGCAAATCACGATGAACATTTTTTTCACAGATTCAACAGAGCACGAATCCTTTCCTTCTGTACCCTAGTCTTTGTGATCGCGATCCTTCTGATGGGAACTGTCAAGGAGTACTGGCATTTAGTCGTCTTACGTATGATAATGGCGGCAGGAGAATCCGGGTGCAATCCTCTAGCTACGGGCATTCTGACTGATTTGTTCCCTGAGAAACAGAGGGCTCTGGCGTTGTCCATCTTCAACTGGGGCATCTATGGAGGATATGGTATCGCCTTCCCTGTTGGACGTTACATTCCTGATGTGAATGCTTGGGGACTGGTAAGTTCTATAATTTATTTATTTATTTTTAGAAAATGTACATATACAACACCATAGCTTACGCCATTAAGTTATACTGTTAATCTTATATAAATGATATTATATCTACTCGTTCTAATGTGCAGAAGTAGGTTTATCTGTCCGTTTATTTTTGTCGTTTAACCAATTAATTGTTGAATTATTATGTTTAATTTTAATTACCTATTAATGAATTTTGGGAAGCTAGCTTCGATAGCTGGAAATGTTTGCCTTTATTCACAAAATAATTATTCACAAAATGAAAACCGACGTGAAGCAACGCTGGCGTTGTGTTTCACCGTGTGAATGAGGTTACTGGAGGCCCAATTACCCTCCCCTTCCCCAATCTTCCTAATCCCTGAATCCCCAACGATCCTCAAACTCCTAATCCCCAAAAGGCCGGTAACGCACTTGTAACGCCTCTGGTGTTCCAGGTGTCAATGGGCGACGCCGATTGCTTACCATCAGGTGATCTGTCTGCTCGTTTACTGGCTAATGCCATAAAAAAAATAAAAAAATCTCTTAATCTAAGAATTAGACCATGAAAATGAGATTAGAAATTATCTATTTATCAGAATTACATATTCTAAAGTACCTACGTTATAATCAAATTTTTCCACAGAGCTGGCGTGTGTGTTACTTTGGAGCCGGTATCGTCGGTCTTGTCATCACGGTGCTCACCTTCCTCACTCTTCGGGAGCCTTCCAGAACAACGATTGGAGAAGAAGGTAACTAATTATTACCACTAAAAAAGTATACAATTGGACACAATATCATATTTAAAAATAACATTTCTTTCTAGGTACATAAAGTTCATTAAGAGCTTGTAACACATCTTTTTTAGAAACAAATCTTCTGCATCGACAACCTCCTCTTTCTTGTGGCAACCTGGTACTCTGGTACCTTATATGAAGACCCATAAATTAAATGTATCATCTACTTATGTTTCAGGTACCACAAAGACAAATGATACGACAGTGGAGTCCGGCAAGAAGATCCCTCAGGTGACCATCTGGCATGTGATTGCGCAGCCCAGAATTATTCTGTTGTGCCTGGCTGCCTCTATCAGACATTGTGGTGAGTTCTATTGCTTCTAGTAGTCCAAAAATTAGGGATCTATTGATGTGATGCAATTCTGCACCGTTGGCACCGACTGCACGATTGGCGCAGTGGTTTGGCAATTTACTGCGATGCAACGTGTCGCGGGTTCGATTCCCGCACGGAACAACTCTTTGTATGGTCCACAGATTGTTGTTCCAAGTCTGGGTGTCATGTGTATGTGAACTTGTATGTTTGTAAACGCACCCACGACACAGGAGAAAGTGCTAGTGTTGTGCAACGTTTTAAAAATATGTATATATATATATATATATATTAACTACTTGTAGATACTAAAATTAATTATTATTCATAAAGTGATTTAATTGAATTGATTTATCAATTAATTTTATACGATTCGTTTTGTAATTATGAATATTTTATTTCTATGGTATTACCGGTAACACCTACCCATTGTGAGTACATAAGACATTATTCACGACAAGAGCCTCAGCAATATTATGAATATCAATTAAGAAGTCCTTAGTTTTTATTCAATACTTTATTCCCTCACGTTAAGGATTAAAATGCGAAGTTAATTTTCTAAGACATAGTTTTTAAACGCAAATAGAATTTTGTTGTTTGTATCCTGCCAGTCACGGCAGAACTTGAGTTGTCATGTCGCGAAATCCAAGGTCGATTTAATGATACTAAAAGTGCTTTTGCAAGTACCCTGTAGGTACCTACCAGATTTATATCATTGTTATTTCTTCCGAGAACTGAATGCTGTGACATGATATTAGATTAAAATATTATGCCAAACAACTAGGTAGGTATGGTATGTCCCCAAAAGAAAAGGGAACGCAGCAAATCCTTAATTTGTTTTATAATCCAAATATTTAATTGTGGGAGAGCCACGAATGGGCCGGCTCGACCGGAGTGATACCACGGCCTCAGTGAAAACCGACGTGAAGCAATGCTTGCGTTGTGTTTCGTCGTGTGAGTGAGGTTACCGGAGGCCCAATAGGGATGATAACAGAGTATGAAAATTAAAAATCTAATAGTCCGTAAGTTAGGTAATTAAAAAAAATATTAGACATGATTTTTTTTATTTTGTCGCATATTAAAAAAATACTTAGATAAAACAGGTGGGGGCTAAAACGTCATTTCTACGTATAAAATGTACATAGAAGACTAGAAGCGACGTCACGCGACATTTCAAATCAATATATCGTCGAAAGTATTCGTTTCTGTAAGAAAATAAAAAATACGTGTCTAATGATTTAAAAAAATCTTCCAGACGGACATTAAAATAAAAATTAGGCATCTACCCAAATAATAAGAATTGCTAGATTAAGTATGTAAGTAATAAGTACCTAGTTACGTGGGTACGCAGTGGGTACCTACCCACCAAAGTTGCCTGAAGTTCTGCCACCCGGAGGTTCCATGGAAAATTATAACTGTTGTTGTTTGTCTCATAATTAGCTGCCTTCGCGTTATTATTCATCCGAATTCCTACACAATTTAAATTAACGACAGTTTTCGACGACTTTCCTGGCTTTTGTTTTGATTGAATGTTGTAGCGAAAAGGTCGTGGTCTCGGGTTCGATTCCCGGGTCGGATAAAGTATTACTGGGTTTTTAAAAATCTTAGCACGTAGCACGTAGTCTGGAAATGTGCCCGGTATATGGCAATAGGTTCACCCCCTATTACATGGGACTTATAACATGAATAGTGAAATGTGGGTGTTACATTGTACAGTGGCATTAAGTACCGAAATGCGCACCTTTGCCTACCCCTTCGGGGATAAAAAGGCGTGATGTTATGTTATGTTATGTTATATAAGCGAAAAGCTTGCAAAAGGTACAACCACGGCTTGAGCATTTGATGTTTTTTAGGTTACCTACCAACAGATTTTTTGTAGGCTTAAATATTGATCAAAATGTAACATTTGTTTTAGATTTCTGTTATAACTTAATAAAAAATATTATTTATGAACTAAAAAAACTAAAGAAAAATTAAAAGCGACTTCACGGTTGACGCAGTAGTTCGATTCGATTCGATTCCCGCACGGAACAACTATTTGTGTGATCCGGTATGTTGTTCCGGGTCTCGGTATATAACTTGTATGTTTGTAAACGCACCTACGACACAGGAGAATAAATACGCCAGTGTGGGGCAAGACTGAAAAAAAAAGATGGCGTCTAACTACTTAGAGTAACAATATACTAAAATATTTGAAAATGACAGGGCCGTACTTAGGCCCCCAGAGACACCACTGGAGTGCTTCTCACGAACTCCTTCGCATAATAGAGACTGTCACATCCAATCCTTTGTAGTTGTTTCAAGTTGTCGTTGTTTGTTAGTGTTGTCAATTTTCAAGCGTGTTTGTTTCACCCTAATATCATTTATAGGATGTCACTGTTCATTTAAATTTGAATATTAAGTTCAACTTAGGTTTTAACCTAAGTTGACATACTTTAGTCTGTTTTAATCTTCTATTTGAAATTATTTACTAAAATTAAGTAGATAAGATGACATCATTTAAAACACAAAATAAACAGCGACTAAAACATATTCCCATTATTTACGAACTGTACCTAATTACTACAAAACATAATTATGATTATATTTTCTATAGGTACTTTTTAGCCATTTTTTCTTTACTATTCACTTTAGAATAAGCTTATTACTTGGAGACTTTTAACCCTCGAATGAGAGCTCCATTTCTTCATAATCCTTGACCTGTCTCATAGCAAATCAGACTCGTGTAGACGGATAAGCCAGTCACTGAGACATTTATATCCTTTTGACCTTATCTAGGTCAGCAAGAAAATTCATTTAATAAAGCCATTGGACGGAGCATTAGTTGGCAACTTAACTGTATCATTTTCTTTATCCTGTCATCTATTTCCATTAGTAATAAGTACAGCAAAATGAACATTGTTTTCTATATTATATTTATAGTGATTGTTTATTTTTCTATTACTTTGATAGATAGATATTTAATACTGTTTTCAATCGCAGTGGATGACAGCTTCGCTCAGGATTAATATGTTATACTAAACATGCAATTTTATCGAAAAGTAGGAGTTCGCGTGAGTTCCGCATACGGAAGTTTATAAACAAACCAAGCTAATTATGATGTTTTTATATAGGTTGTTTCACAACATTGTTAATTAGCCCTTAGAGGAGAAAAGAAACAAATAATAAACAAGGGGAGTCCAGCAACTGCTGCAACTAGGCAACTGCCTAGCCGTCTTACCCTCTTGTCATTTAATCTCTTTCTGAATAACACAATGAGTGAGATCATCAACGATAAATACTCAATGCAAACTCATTTTTGTTGTAGTATTATCAGCAATCTCTAATAAACTTGAACCTTTTTAAATGGATCTTCAACCTACTTTCCAAATGCGGTGATTATGACAAAAACTCCTAGTATATAGGAGACCCAGGATCCAGCAATAGATTGTCATGGGCCATTGATGCTGATGCTGTATTAACTTGTAATAATTTATTCTTTGGTTCCAGGTGGTATGTGTTTCGCGTACAACGCCGACCTGTACTACCGTGATTACTTCCCCGATGTGGATCTAGGCTGGTGGCTGTTCGCTGTCACTGTTGGTATCGGCTCCGTTGGTGTCGTCGCTGGAGGAGTCATCTCGGACAAGTAAACTACTATTTTATACTTAATTTTTTAAACATTTTAATAGTCTGGCATTCGGAGTGAATCTGGTTATAAGTTAATCGACATTAGGAAGGTGGATGTTTTATGTGAAAGCTTTTTTATGTGGGAACAAAGTTATCAGCCTACCAATGGTCAGCTCGAGGATTCGGATTCAAATATACTCTAATAATTAATTATTCGGTTGCTTCTTTTCAGTAAAGATAATAAAGCATTAAATTATCTTCGTGTTACCTAATCCAGGTAATAAAGTACGTTAAAGTTGTATGTCTAATCCAAATTATATGTACAGGTATGTGGAGAAGATGGGTGTTCGTTCAAGAGTGCTGGTTCTTGCGTTGTCTCAGCTGATTGCCACCCTCCCCGCCTTCGGTTCTGTGGTGTTTGGACCTCTGTGGGCCATGATCACTCTAGCTATTTCCTACTTCTTCGGTAAGTATTGATTGGTACTAGTACTAGTTTGATATTAGATTTTGATAGTTGTTCGGTTGATTGACTAATTCTTTGGTTAACACCTTGAACGCCATGGGGGACAAGGTATGGGCTACGGTAGCGGATGATTTACCCTCAACAAATAATAGTGGGATTGAAAAAAAATGTCTATCCCACTGTTTACTGAAAAGAAACACCAACACCAACTAATGGTAATTTTACCTTGATTTCCTAGTTAATCACAATACCAATAATCGTTTTATTCTCTTTCAGCTGAGATGTGGTTCGGAATCGTTTTCGCCATCCTTGTGGAGATAGTGCCATTGTCAGTCCGATCCACCACAGTCGGAGTGTTCCTCTTCGTGATGAACAACGTGGGAGGCAACCTGCCTATCCTGGTCGACCCTGTCTCCAAGATCATCGGTTATAGAGAGGCCATCATGATCTTCTACGCTGGATTTTATGGCATCAGTAAGTTTCCTATTAACGTCTTTAAAATTATCCGAAGTTCGTTTGCGTTAAACGATTATCATTTTTTTTAATAAATTCTTTACCTTAGGATATCTAACATCTACCTAGCTGTTAAGCATTTCTGAATCGCTTTACTAATTGTACTTACATTATTTACAGGCAGCATAATGTTCTTCCTAACAATGTTCCTGATGGACGGCCCTGTAGAGAAACCAGCTACAGAGGAACCAGTGAACAAACGCAGTGGTCTCGACAACAGAGCCTTCACTCAAGACGAACTCCCCGCCAGAAATACAGGCAGACCCCTACCTTCTGCAGTTAACGAGAGATTGTAAATTATAAAAGGACTTCTATAATGCAATTTGGGGCCGCGACAGAAATATATTCGTACACTGTTAGCAAAACAAACTAGCAACGAGGCCCCAGGGCCGTAATTAGGTCTTTGGGTGCAATAAAGTACAAAATAAATGCATGACAGGACTTTGTATATAGCTTACGACAGATACTTAATTATTGGTAAATTTTATAAAGAATTATGCGTTATTTCCAAAGGTAATCGTTATCGTAATGTAGATATTAGGTATGATTTTTTAAATAAAATTATTTCGCAATACGTACCGTACCTAAATGCCGTAACCGAAATGTTCTTCGAAAAGTAGATTGTTTGATCCGCCTAAGCGATATCAGGTTTGTAAGTTTATAGAAAGGTTTAAATATGACATTTCTCATACAATGCATGTTCCTGTAGGAGTAAGCAAAATATTTTATGGCCGATTCATTAAAACAGCGCTAAAATAAAGTTTCTGACTGACTTAGCCTGTATGTATGAAGAAGCTTAGATCTGATGCTGATCATTATAATGTGCATTGTCGTTAGTACCTTTAAGGTATGTCTGAGTGTTAAGTTTTATTTTAAGTTATTTTTAAGTTGTGTTAAGGTCGTTTTATTTATTTTCATCGTGAATTCCAAGTTTATTCAATATTGCTGTTTAGAAATTAACATATTGAATTAATAGATCTGATAGTAATCCGAATCTCAACTACTTTTTATTACGAAACAATGCGTCAACAACGGACTACACATAAAATTACGTTAATTTTTAAACAGACTATGATAAACTATAATTATTTCGAACACAAAAGTTGTTTTTATGCCTAATTTTGAGTTTATTTACAATAAATTTATTACATTAAAATGAAAAATGTACAAATCAATATAATATACGATTTAACTTCTACATATAAGCAATTGCTGTTACAACTTAGGTAGGTACGAACCTACATTGTAGTCAAATTCAAATCATATTATTTTAAATTACGATAAATTGAAAAGTTCTAAATAAAATGAAATGCAGTTGTTATGTGATAATGATCTTTTGTACATATTTATTTCATAGTTTTATGTGATTATTGTAAATAAATGTTTTATGAGAAATTATTTTTTTATTATTAAATTAATAACAGTGTGAATATTTTAAAATACTTCAACGTGTTGAAAAGTCAAAACAAACAATTTTTGATCGAGAAAAAATTCCAATTCTTTACTATGTTGGGAATAATAATAAAATAAACTACCTACTATCTTTTGGACCATAATCTCTTTAAGTAGTTTCATCTCGTAACTTTTTTCTGTACTTACACTTTAAAAATAAAAGGCTTTGTTGTGTATTAAAGTATGTAGGTAACATATATTTACAAAAAAAAGTACATTACTTAATAATCTATGCCACTTCAGTTAATATCTTACTTTTTTTGTTACCCTTATATTTAAAGAGTTTCTCTTTTCTCCTTGACTTCCATAGTTTTGTTTCTTCCTTAGACAAGATGTAGTCTCCATCAAGCAGAACAGCTTTTAATTTATCTGAAAGGATTAATATTAATTTAGTTCAAGGGCAAATAATGCTACTTTGGGCTCAGAGTCTATAGTATAGTATAGTATAGTATATAGTTTTTGATCTTTAATTTTTTGGGAAATATTCAATGTATGTAAGTATGTAGCTTCTTTTTTTGTAGACATTAAAATATAAATAAATATATAAAAATAATGCTCACCCTCAGTACATGGGGACTCATAACATAACTGGTGAAAAAACATCGAAAATGTGCATGTCTAGAGTAAAAAGTTGTAAACTATATCAAATTTTTTTTAGACAGTCTAGACTAAGAAAGCGTAAAGTATTTTTTTAAGAGGGGCAATTCATCTAATTACTTCTCCAGCCTTGGTGAGGTGGGAGGGAGTGTTAGACTCTTACTGACTAAAAACCACCCCGTTCCTACTCCTGCACTTCGAGCCGGAGCCCCGGTAACCTGTTAAGTTCTCTGCGGCTCCGTATCGGCATCAGCCCTATTGGGCCCTATCCGTGGTGGTCTGATGGCTCTCTGAGGCGCGTGCGGAACGCGGTGCCCCGTACGCTCGTGAAACGTAAAGTATGATAAATAGTTAAGTGTAAAAAAAAATAAAACAAACCATTTTCATTAATATTCTCTTCAGGATCAATTTGTCTTCTTTTATTCTTGAGTTTTTTTGATTCAGCGTTATGAGTGTCAGTGTAAGTATCCTTTATCTCTTCACATGATAAAAATCCTTCGGAACTGCTAAAGAGTTTTATACCACCCTTAATCTTCCTTTTTCTGTAAAGAAAACAAATATTCAATTCATTTACTGAAAAACTCAACTTCAAAAAAGTATGTTCACAGTTTAACCTGTATGTTAATAATTACGTATGTTTGTGCGCGATTATCTCGCTATTGGATTCAATAAAATAAAGGGGGTTGAAGTAGGTTTTTTTAAAAGTAGTTTATGAAAGAATTGCCAACAACAAGCTATGTTTTCTCAGAGGTTTAGATGACTATATTGTGTAGAACAATGCCCATATTGTATGATGATGCGCGATAAACTCTAATTTATTTCCACATTACTATTTCATTAATATTAGTGATATCCTTGTGGACCATATCACTACTACACACACTGGTTAAGACACTACTGAATATTTTTATTGCTTACTTCGTTTCATTCTGAATATCTACAAATTGTATTTTCTTCTGTATAATAGCAGATACTTTCGCACCAATTCGCTTCTGCATTTCTTCAGGAACTTTAACATCATTGTAATGGGATGCTACTTCCAAATATCTTTCAGATTTGGGTTTTTCTTTGTCTGAAACAAAATCTTTATTTATAATGAACTCATAACAAATAAATTAATTTGCTGGTGTGACATCATTAACAAAGAATAATAAATAATTTTCTTTCTTAAATTAGTCGAGTAAAAAAAACATTTTTAATACAGCCCTGTACAAAAGTGAGGTTATATTGTTATAAACAATCTTTAAAATAATTTTATTCTACCGTATTATTATACCGTAAAGGATTTCGAAATGTAGCAAAATATTAATTAGAAATGCAGGTATGTGATAGATTATTTAACTTTACTAATTATGTTTATTGAGTACTTACTATTATCATAAACGTCTTTTGTAGCAAGTCCGCGTGATTCGTTAATTAACTTAGTAAACGATGTGTCCACTACTTCCCTAAAACGTGAAAGATCTTCATCTTCAGAAGAATCAGACATTATGTTCATTAATTATTTTATACAAATAAAATAGTATTATTAAACAATCAAGTTCAATCAACATAATAATCACGCACGTCTACTATATTGTTTATTTCCGTTCACAAAGCTAGTTAAACATAAAAAAGGAAATAAAAATTTACGAACTGTATATTAAAAGTTAAGTTAACTCATTATTAAGCAATCATGAAATGCTATTTGTGATTCAAAAATACAAATAAACGTACTTATATAAAATAACAAAAAAATATAAACATCATAAAATCTGTGCAACCACAATACGATATTTTCACGTAAGAAATCTCGTAAACGGAACTGTGACTGTCAAATTGACAGCTGTTGTCATTCTCTTGTCCGGGTGTGTACTGATTTTCCAGTGTATCTTGGCCTGTGGAAAAACGGAAAACTATTCTAAAATTGCTGTAAATTGACTTAAGATATAATATCAAATTATATTGGACATTTAATAAGTCAAATGTTGAAAATGTTGAAATGTCTTAAAATCAAATGTCAACCTCGCAATAACCTGAACGAAATAATGTAATTTAGTTTAATAATTAAACTTCATATAAGCTCAAATCAAGATCACCTGAATACTTTGAAGGTTAGAAAAATTCAATATCGATCTTCGAAAGAACAATTTTATAAGAAACATTACATTAATGTACCTATACAAGCTGTAGAGCAATTTACTGTGGTAAATGCTTTAAGAGACAAAATCTATAAAGATTGCAGTGTTATCAGTGTTCAGACACAATGTCGTTTGTATTTCGGCCACCAACTGACCCGAACTTGTCGAAATTTGTTGAAGACAATGACTATGACTCGCTTGCCAAGTATCTGGTGGGTAACAACCAGAGATTTCGGGAGAATATCATAATACCTCGGATTCTTGGGCCGGTTATCATCAAAAGTAATGAGGAGAAGATGATTGAGTCCACTATTGAGAGCTGCCCTTTCAAATCATTGACAAGTTGTATCATCGGTAAGTAGACTCATAATAACTATAAATAATATAATTAGTTTTATAGATTAGTGTAAATATTCCAACTATATATAGTATAAAACAACATAACAGTAATGTCTCATTCCAGTTAGTTCTTAGTCTCATTCTATGATTAATAAATGAAATAATTCTTATCAAAACGTTACCCAAGTTTCATGAAATGTAACCTTATATTTCTATTACCAGAATATTCAACACTTAATGCATTGGCTGCTGTGTCGGATAATGTTGTCCGACGCTAGCGGAGGATTAGCCTTTAACAGTTTTTGTCGGCAGTTAAAGGCTTAACCGCTTGAATGCCTGTATATGAGACACAATAGAAAATACACTGTGTCTCATGTGGATCCACATTAAACACACAACGGGTTAAAATCACAAGTTTGAGTTTTTGTGGTTTTATTATTTTAATTGTAAAAAGCTTGTAGAAGAGTGATTCAAAATACATGTACCTATTACAAAACATAACATCACACCTCTTATCCTCAAAAGGGTAGGTAGAGGTGCACATTACGGCACTTAATGCCACTGTACAATGTAACAATATTTATTAAACTGTTGCTTAAAACTAGTACTTCATTCTTCATCATAATTTTTTATTTTCAGGGTATGGTCTTGGTGCAGCTGTAGGTCTATTCACATCCTCGTTAATGCCAAATGTATCAGTAACTGATCCTAATGCACTGCAAACACAGTCTGCCAGAGAAATATTGCGGGAAATGAGAACATCTATGTTAAGCTATGCAAAGAACTTTGCAATTCTTGGAGCCGTGTTTTCCGGAATTGAATGCTGCATAGAATCTGCTAGAGGAAAAACTGATTGGAAGAATGGAACCTATGCTGGTGGTGTTACGGGTGGCCTAATTGGGTTAAGAGGTGAAAATAAATAACATAATTACATAATATTGTATCTTTAAAATTTGAAGTTTGTGACCGCAACCTATTGTTCTATAAATTGTGTCTATAATGATGGTACCCGACAAGTTAAATGTAACACCCTTGACCCTTATGTGCATGGGTATCAAAACCTCCTTAAGTTGAATTTATTTAGGTGCTCCTCAAAGCAGTCAAATTAGAGATACTAGGCCTAATTTTAGGATATTGATCTGTCAAAATGCTCTTTTGTAGCCTATTTACAAAAATATTTTTTTTTTTTATTCTAGGTGGCCTCAGAGCAGGTCTGTTCGGAGCAGCAGGCTTTGCAGCATTTTCAACGGTCATTGATTATTACATGCACCAACGTGGATAATTAGTAATTTATTTAATAAATTAATATAATTATTATTTAGTGTTTCTTAGCAATAAACTACTTAGAATTTAAAATAGTTTTTCTTGTCCTAATTTTATTTATCAAATACCACAACCTAGTTAAGTATCATGCAAGTCTCATGTAAACTTATAATATAAATAAATAAGCACTGTATTTGTACCAGTTGTACCTACGGAGTCTACTGAGAAACTTCAGATAACTATTTATGATTGCATCATCTTTAAAACAAAAGTTTGTAATAAATATTCTGACCGAGTCTAAATACGTAGAAATTATGAGCAGATTATTAGGCCATGAAAAGACATATCATTTATAAAGTTATTTACATGTAGAACTATACTAACCAAATATCCTTACAATATTACTAACCATAATGCTAAAGAATCTACAATATCGGAATGTGTACTGGAACGCGGTCTCAAAAGACCGATGTCCTAGTTAGCCGATGAAGAAATCACAAGTTTCCGTTTTAAAAAATCAACAAAGCAACGGTCTTTGTCGTCGTTAGCGTGATTGATTTTTACAAACGTTAAAATCGAAAATGTGTATCGAAGTGTGAGCTGCCGTTAGTTTCGCAGCTAGATATTAGTAATAGCTATCTTTTAGTATATTTATATTAATAGTGCGAAGTACAAATTTTTCAATATGAAGGATCCTTTTGTTAAGGATTCGGTTATCGATTCGCCGGCCAGGGAGAGCCTGAGAAATGTGGAAGGTTGCTACAACAAGAATATATTTAAGACTAGTTCGTTCGCGAACTCCCGGCGTGCATTGCAGTCAGGTGCGGATAAAATATCAAGAACTTTTCGAAGCGTAAGAAACACCTTCGGGAATCTGTCACAGGTATTTTTTCATATGTTGTTTCATTACAAAAAATTGATTAAAACGTATTGTTTATACTAAAACCACACTAATAATTGTCTATAAGAACCTCGTATTCTGCTAAACTACATACAGTTGCTGGGAAAGACACCTTTTCGTAGAAAAAATCATTCGTAAGTACGTAAGGTATGGCCGTAGATTCCATGGCAACGTGAAATCGATTTTATAAATTATAATGTGACTAGACTATGAAGTACGAACTTCAATGGTAAATAATTAATTAGGTACTATTTGTCAGTCATTCTATAATATTGTAGACGATTATTTATTAAATTTATTTAATAATTGTAGAAATGTGATTGCGAAATAATCATAGGATAACTGACCATTAGGCAATGTGAACTATTTATTTAGTGAAACTGTTATCGCATACACCAGAGATTTCATAGCCTTCTAATCTTTATCAAGAATTAGATATAGGTAATTAAGACACCCATAGAGATACCACACAAAATCTGACTTGGTCCTGTCCACAATATTTAATACTATAGTTAATGAGAAATATTTTATCAGCATTTCAGATTGGGAGGCAGGCGCCGTCACCGCCTTACTGAGCCTCCGTCTCCATGCAGGACACCAACAACACCAGTCATGAAGAAAAAACAGGTGAATTGAAGTTTATAAAGATAATCTGTGGTATATTAAGGTACCATTTTATTTGTCATGGTTTTTCATTTTAATAAAAAATCTGATTTACATCCACATGTAAATCAGATTTTTTATTAAAATGAAAGTGAATGTGAGAGTCTGTTGAACTTGACATCAACAGCCAAGTGCCCACTGATGAGCAAAGGCCTCTTCTCACACAGAAGGTTTGAGCATTAATCACCATGCTTGCTCAATGCGGGTTGGCGATTTCAAATGTATAATTAGAACATATAAACTCAAATTTCGTCACAATGTTCCTTCACTGTTTGTCAGTGGTGTTTTAGAAAGTATGTATAACTCAGAAAGAGTCACATTGGTACTTTCTGTTGTTTGAGGTTTCGAACTTGCATCCTCATGCATAAGAAGCAGGCTTCTTAAACCTCTGGGGCAGACTTTAATTACTCAGACACATACCCTTTTGGAATTAATGATAATTGCCTTCTATTCTGAAGTGGTAATTTTGATAGGTTTGTTACACATATTTTCTATTAACAACTTTTGTAGCAGTCCTATATCGTTTGTTTTACTGCCTACTATCGAATTAATAAGGTTCAAACAATAAAAAAATTTCATACTTCTATAGTGCCTTTTGGCACACCTTGATTATAAGTCAACATAGTTCCATATAACATTTTTTTTTTTAAAAAACGTTGCCCCACACTATGATTTTTCCTGTGTCGTGGGTGCGTTTATATACATTATATTATTTATATTGCCTCTTCATCTCTTCGTGCTTCTTCCTCTAATTTAATGTGTAGTCCGGTCTTTCCCAGATACTGGGGAGAAGTCCTACAAAGCTGTACAGTCCTTTTGGCATCGAGACACCGCACAACCGGGACTTCAGGATGTCACCTTACATGCCTGATACACCGGATCATGGGTAAGTTAGAAACCAATTGTTATTATTTATTTTAAATGTATACTGAAAAGTATTTTTAGTAGACTGCCAAAGATTTGCCTTTAAAAATATTACTATTCTGGAACTTATTTGTCTTCAAGTAGTACAAATTTTATCATGGGATAGGGATAGTGTATTTGGACTCTCTACTTAACTGCTGAGCTGTTTAGTTAGTTTAATCTTTGAAACTATTTTGTGTTATATTTACAAATCATGATGCTAAAACTTGTTAAAAATTTGACAAGAAATTGATTCTCTATTTATTTTATTTCCAGTTTGTCACCAAAGCGGCGCAAAGGCGTCACCCACTCATGGCATATCCTCGCCAAGAAGAGACCCCGGGCGCTCTTCCACTGAAACTCTTACTACATGTAACTATCAACGCACAAATGTATCCCACCGCTTAATGTAAAGACTAGCTTCTTGAGCCTCTAGATATTGGGCGTCACAAGTGTAGGTCTGTGACGCTCTGCACTCGGAAATCATTAGCTACTTGAACTGTCTTGTAATAACTAAGGCAGCTGTTAGAAAACGTAAATAATTTATTAATGTAGCCACAACACAAACTATTGCAGTGACCACTTGCAATATTAAACTGTCAAACACCAAGCGGTCACCGGTGACCGCAACCTATTCTTCTATAATTGTGTCTACAAAACCGGTACTCGACGAGTTAACTTCAGTTCTTTCAGAAATTAACTTATTTTACCATTTCAAAGTGCCTATATCCAGCAGTGGCCTAAAAAGCTGAGATACTAAGGAGCATTTGAGATGACCAACATCTAGAGGCTTATATTGTCGATATTTTGTATGCAATTGGTGCTATACTCATAGTATTTTCTTATACTTTAAATACATTCGCGATTGGCTTATTCCCAACATAATATAATAACTATTATATAATATGTATTTAATAATACATTAAATATTTATAAGGGTTGTCTTACCAGTTGGTATGTTAAAGATTTATTTGCTTTGTTCAAAACATAATGCAGAAATCTTGATGAAATGGAATGTATGGTGTACAAATGATATTAATTTATCATTTCTATATAACAATTTTTTTATTTTGCCCACCGATTATTGAATTTAGTTGAAAGCAATTTCAAGTAGTTCTACTAATTGCTAATGTATATGTACTTACATAATATATTTAGTATTATATCATATCCAGTATTATGACGCCAAATTGTGTAGCTTTGAGTACAAATTGTATAAATATACTGTCAAACAAAAATGTAGTGATAAATGTATGTAGAAATAAGGATTATGTTAGACTAGTAATTTATTACTATCAGTTATTCTTTACATTACTAACAAGCTTAGATATTAAAGAAGATATTTGATAGTACGATGAACTGAATCGAAGAAAAGGTTGGCCTTGAAGGAAGGAGAAAGAATGAATAGTATTAAAGTCCACTGCTGGATATAGGACTGAAAGTAGGTATAGTTAGGGACGCCATTTTGCGTCACTCGCATTTCTGTTTGACAGAGTAACACGTACATAGATTTTTTACACTAATACGCTTCGCATTGACAATATTGTAGTCGCCTATTTATATTTATACGTAGGTTAGGATGGTGTGAATTTTTTTCTGGAATCTCTCGAATTTTTCACTTTATTGTCGAATACAGTTAGCGTCATTCGAAAGTATGTACTGTACTAGGTAGCTAGTAATTTTGGAAAATTGTATGAAGAGATGTTGATGGCAACTTGGATACGTGTAATGGCGTTGACTGTACTTTAAGACTGATTGTCTTGTAGTTGTATATTTTTACTTTTAATTTCTCAATCGAGGCTCAAATGTACCTACCTATTTTTATCAGTATGTATTATTATTTTTAAAATATTTTCACTTGTATTTAATGCATCGGCTATGTGACACAGCACACAGTGTCTATTGATATGAATAAAATTATATTTGATTTCTTTTTTACAAAATTGTCTTTCATTTCCAACACAATAGTACGAACTGATCAGGTATTTTTATGCACGTGAAGTGCAGTTTATCTGCAGAGGAATGAAATAAAAACATAAGGTCGGTGTACAATTCCGACAGTAAAATACCTTTGTATAGAATGTTACCTAAATATGATATCGACTTAAATAATATGATATCGGACTAAATAAACATAACATCACGACTTTTAAGGGGTAGGCAGAGGTGCACATTACGGCACTTAATGCCACTGTATACTATGCAACACCCACTTTCCACTATTTATGAAAATATGAATCCCATGCCATAATCGGAGGTTGAGCCTATTGCCATATACCGGACACAATTCCAGACTCAAAGCTACTACAGAGATTTTATCTTAAAGTTGTTTCAACTGCCTGCCAGAAGAAGGATATCTTCTAACATCCAATGCTTATTCATAAAACGTATGTATATGTAGGTGTGAAAGAAATAAAACGCAAAAATCCAGAACAACTAAGTATATATTTATTTAAAAATATTTTCACAACTTAAACTTAATAAATGAGTACTTAGCTAGATTTATACTTAGGTACAGAACCTAATCTGTTAACATCACATTGTACTTTGATTTAATTAGGTTTTAAAACCTATACCTATGTGGCAAGTCGGTTATTTTTGTCGGATAAACAGAGGCCTTAGTACGAGATCATTTTGTTCACGTTTTGCGTTTAAAGTACCTAATCGAAACAAGACCGCGTTTGGTGCTGTAGGGACTTACTCTTGAATCCAATTCCGATCGATCGACATTGGTATTGTGAAATTTCGTACTCTATACTGTACTTTGAGTTGCAACGCTAGCGCCCATTACACCCGTATTGCGTGGATATTTAATGAAGTAAATGGTATTGGGTTTGGTTTTATATTCGGTACTCGAAATGCTATTTTAACAGCTACCAATTTACGATAGGGGTTGTATGACATAGAATGGTAATTGAGATTTTATTCAATTGAAATTGCATTGACATTAAGATTGATTTCAAGAGTAAGGACCCTGATCAGTCGGTTTATCAACGCCGGCCGAACAGCGCCGAACACTTAATCGTTTCGATTACTTTAAACGCATAACAAACTCGTACTAATGCCTCTGATATTTATACGAGTGGCTTACCCACCTAGGCTGCGGTCTTCAGTCTTAGTAAGCTTAGATAAAGTCGTAACTAAACTATGAAAAAGGAACATACATTCAAAGCCGGTCTTAATAACCAAATTAATTATTAACGCTCGAATACTAGTCAACTCAATTTTAAATTTTACTTCAACATCGTGCCATCTCTATCATTTTACAAAGCATTTGTAGAGACAGAACTATATATAAGCGCGACTTAAAATCGATTAGCGGTTGTGTATTTGGACGTCAGTTATGTAAATTAGAGTTTTTTTAAAAGAAGAATTAGTGTGGATTCTCCAATTTTATTTTTTAATAGTAAAACCTACTTACTGATAGGTTATTGAGACTGGCCATTATTAAGTTACAATTACATAATAAAAAAGTATCAGACACGTATTTTTATTTTATTAAAATAGTTCTTCTAATTAATCGACTCCAAAAACAAAAAAGAGGTTTTAGTTTGACATGTATAGGTACGTATGTTTGGGCGATATAAACACGGTGTTTTAGAAGTGTTTGTTACATTTAGGAGAATGGAACCTAAGTCTAACAAACACTTTTCTGAACACGTCAACAGAGCAAGTCGCTTCGGTCAAAAAAAAAGGGGGGGGGGGGGTTGAAGTCGGATATTTAAAACTAGTTTATACTATAGAAAATAAGGGTTTAGGAGAGTGGATCGGCTACGACATTTGTGCTAACTTTTATGTACTTTTTTTATTTACTAACAAGTGACGTCATGCGATATTTTACAGCGTAATCGTAGTGTATCGTTGTAATTTTTTTATTCCAGAAAAATACGTGTCTAATATTTATAATAAATGTACAAGATGGATAAAAAATATTGACCAACTAAAATGTCATATTTTCAAACTACTGAAGTATGAATTTGTACTCGACAATTTATTTATATTTTACACGGGTACCACATGTCAACATCAGTTTCCCGCTAGTCAAATTTAAATACTCAAAATGTCAAAGAGGGTACTTATTTTCAATTTTGTAATAAATACGAATTTCACATGGTGACGATTATGATGAACCAGGATGTCATTTTTTTTAGTCAATATGTATGTATTCTAGTTCCAACTAATTTATACGCGTCCCTATACGGGGCTCATAGAATTTGGGAGTGAAGCTATTATACCATGCACCGGGCAAAATTTTTGAGAATCATAATTATACTTTGCGGATCCGGGAGTCGAATCAAAGCGCTCTTGCTCAAGATACTTGTGACCACATGACCAAACGAACGAGACAATCGTTAACAAAAAAAGAAATAGGTAAGACTTCCTTACTACATGGCTTAGTTTTAGCGTCTAGTTTTAATAATGTTGCCAGTGTCGAAAAACAATTCTTTATATAAATGAAATGTCTTAACAATGTTTGCCCTTTAAAAACTCTTCTTTTATACAACATGTCCTCCCACAATCCTCAAATTCCTAATCTCCAAAAGGCCGGTAACGCACTTGTAACGCCTCTGGTGTTTCGGGTGTACATAGGCGACGCCGATTGCTTACCATCAGGTGATCCGTCTGCCCGTTTACCGGTTTATCTAATAAAAAAAACAACTAGTCACAATTCTTGTTTGCACTCTTCTTCCTGAATGGCTATCATTCAGGTTTGCATTGTGAATTTTCCTAAGTGGGATTATTTATCAAGGGTCACCCACCCCGCTCTCAGGTATTCAGAAGTTATTAAAAGATTTAAGTAATTCTATTTCCAGTAAAGCTTTTCGAGAGAAGCGGTAATCAGAGGACTTACTCTTGAATCCAATTCCGATCGATCGACATTGACATTGTGAAATTCCGTATTCTTGAGTTGCAATACTAGCGCCCGTTGCATCCGTATTGTGTGGATATTGAATGAACTAAATGATATTGAGTTTGGCTTTATATTCTGTACTATGAATGGTGTTTTAACAGCTACAATTGGGGTTGTAGAGTTTCGACATTGAATAATTATTGAAATTGTATTATATTGAAATTGAATTGACATTGAGATTGGTTTCAAGAGTAAGCGGTAGATCTTTTTGTTCTCTATTGATATGTTTCGGTTTATTTTGTTGTAGGATCAAAGACAATTATTTATGTCCCGTCGCATTGGACTTCATTGTTGTAGACTGTAGATTTTCGTAGACGTACCTAACTGCTGAGCTGTTATAGCCTGGGTTCAACATCCGAGTCGACAAAGTATTTTTAAGATTTTCAATTCATATACTCTCGTCAATAGGAACATGGATTGATAAGCAATGCGAAAAGTATGTGCTCGTGTGCTCGAGGCGAGAAGTTTGAGTTTGATATACTGTGTATTGTACAAAATAAATATTTCTTTACATAAAGTTATGTCCAGCTTAAATAATAACTAACTATCATGTTAAACATTATAAACAGTTCCATTTTCAACATTTTCTCATGTTGTAACACTTATTCTTATAAAATGGCAACTAAAGAATTTGAAACATCCCAACTATACTGCCAGTGTCATGATGTTAGATAGAAAAAAGTTACTAACTCAGATATTACTTACATCATTTATCAATGACAAAGTCTGCAAATAACCAAACTATTATGTTACAAACAAATATCACAAAACTTACAATACGACAAAGACTATTTTAGAACAAGCAATTTAGTGACAGTCGAAAAATGTAAGACAACACTAATAAAGAAAATAAAAAAACAAATTTGCGTTTGCATTTTACGCAATTATGTCCAAAGAGTCTATGGAAAAAAGATTCCGTCCTCCATAAAAAAAAAAAACAAAAAATCACTCAACCAGCCAAAATAAGTTTTGTTAATTGAATAAGTATTTTGCAATATAAAACTAAAGTTTTATTATTTTATTTTTACAACTATTCGACTAAACTATATTAACAATACCGCTAAGGTAAAGAGTAAGGCTTAAATACCTATAATTACAACATTGTAGGTAGCTTAGGTATTTTTTAAAAGTATTTTTACATTGAAAACTTAACTGACTTACTTTGGTGAGGAATTTGAGTACTTGGGTCCGGGTGGTCTGTTCATATAGCTCTGAAATAAATTTTATAGGTATTAGTAGTTTGTTCATAGCACGATTTCATCATTTACGTCATCAGTAAAAGTGAGATAAGAACTAAGAACTTTTCAATGACTTATTTCTACAATATTAGTAAATTTATTCTACTTTTATTCCTATAAATTTTACATTTACTTTCATACATTCCATTCACACTCATACACCGTCATGAACAGTTAGATTTTTTTAGGTTAGCCACAACACAACTGAAGGATTAGCACGAGTTGGTTTTAAGTGTAACGAGATCGAAACGAGACCACGTTCGACACTCTGATTGGTTGGTTCATTGGAGCCGGCCAATCAGAACACCGAACGCGGTCTCGTTTCGATCTCGACATGTAATAATCATGTAATCATGGGACTCTGAACACAACTGGAAAATCTATGGAAACCTATTCTGTATTGCTATGGAATCAAATGAGCGTTTACTATATAAAATAGACATTTTATAATTATGTTGATATAAAATGTATGTCTAGATTTTGTAATAATAAAACTTCACCCTTTAGCCCGCAGGAGGTACAAAATTAAGTATACATACAGAAGGGCTCCTGAACGTCACCAGCCGCTGGTTAAAGTTAGGTCGCGGCCGAGATCGCATTTGAGGGAGCATCGGAGGTCTCATTATATGGGTGCGCGGCGTGACCGTTGGAGGACGCATAATATTGTTAAATATCGACCGATGCCGCCAATATTTCTTTGTGTTGTTGTCATTAGGCGACACAAACGTAGGCCGCGGGCCCCGAGGGTTCTCCTGACCATAGAATGGACTTTGCTTCGTTGGAGAGTGGTTGAACGTAATTGGTGGGCCCATGCTTATAGTCCGTGTTATGACCGGTACCGGAGGCTCTTCGGACGGTTGGTTCTGCTAAAATCAATATTAGTTAATTCCATGATCGTCATCAACTATACTTTTTAGTAATAAAATATCAAATTTTATTACTAGAAAGTATAATAAATAAAAATACTCTGTATTATAGCTAAAAATCGCGGGTTACTCACGTGAATATACTGAGAAAAGCTCTACTAGTTTCGAGCCAAAGAGGGGATCTTTCTCACGAGCAGCGTGCGCGGTTGTGGCGATTTTAACCTACTCTAACCCGCGATTTTTAGTTAATTTAGTATGTCTCACGATACTTATTATAAAAACACAATGTATGATACTTCCAAATTTACACTAAATAGTGAAATAAGGAGAATTTATTTTATGCCTGATCCATGGACACTTTTTAGAACAGTTACCCTTATCTCCCGATTGCTTGCTTACCATCAGGTGATCGGTCGGATCGTTTACCGGCCTAACCCAATAAAAGAATATTCCATGGCCTAATGTGTTGGGTGGTCAATGCGCTCAATTTTCTCTGAGTTGGCAACCTTTTTGTTATAGGCATGTGGCCAATTCTGCATAGTACCCACTGGGAATTATTATTATTTGTTTCCTTTTCACTTTCTTTTGTTTACATTTCATTTCTATGTTTTGTTATAATTTACTGTTTTTTTTATCTTGGCCATAATGCCGACATCAATTGAATGTATTTATTTCTTTCAAATGAGTATAAAGACTCACCACGTTGCTGATGTTGGTGGTGTCGGGCGACGCCGCCGGCGGCTGTCCGTCGCCCGCGTCCGACTGCACCGACTGCGGCTTGTCCAGCTTCAGCTGCGAGCACTCCGCTATCATCGATGACGCCAGCATCGATGAGAAGGCATACTGGTTCTTCAGCAACATGTACTCTTCCAACACGTCCTTGTTCACAGATATTTGCTTCTCAAACATCCCTATCATTGAGTTGTTAAAAATAGCACAGTTCGTCAACCGCATCATCTGTATCAAAGCCTTCGCTATCGGCTCTTCGAACGGCAATATACACACGCGCTCCAAGATGTGTTCGACCACATCCTTGTTAAACGTCCTGTCGTTATCCACCATGAAATAAGTAAGAGTTAAGAACACTATTTTGAATCTTGAAAAGTTTTGCGTTATAGACATCGTGGCCATAAACACGTCGCACAGCAGTGTCTTGTTGCCCTGTTCTGCGTGGACGGGCAGTTTTAACAAATCCTCACATATACACAAGTCAACAGAGTTCAAATGCAATAAAGTTATTTCTATAGTATTTACTCTAATCCGTGTGTCTTCTTCAGAATCATTTCTAGCTTTTACGATGAAGTCGTAAGCCATTTCAACGAGTATCCGAGTGAGACCACGTTTCGCACATTCCTCGACATAGCACATGCCGAACCTCCTCCTGATCTCCGTCCAGTTCCTTAGCAGCATGTACTCTTGTATCAACAACCTTTCGTCTAACACACTAAGCTTTGCTTTAATTTGCTCGCAGGTAGGTATCACGTGCAGAAAGCGACACTGGCCCGAGTATACCTTGCGGCAACAGTTCAATAAGTTGTAGAAACATAAGTTGGAGAACACAATGCTCCGCGCGCGTGGATTCCTTTCAATGATATTGTCCATTAGACGCGGTGTCTTTTCCACATCGGATGGTCCTACTCTAGCATTCAATTCTATATTCTCACTAAAGTCTTCGTAACTTTCAGCGTCAGCGTCCTCTGTGCTATTACTTTGTTTATAAATAGACGTTGAATCCGCATTTTGTTTTTCAATAACAGATTTAATTTTAGATGCTGATACTTCAGCGTCTGCGATTTTGGTCGGAAGGTAAGTATGTTTTTCTACGTTTGAAGGGGAGATTTCAGTAACAGGTCTTGGAATGTACTCCTCGACTGGGCGCGCATTGTACGCGGGGTACGAAACAATCGATGTATTCATTCTAGAAGATTCAAAACCCGTTATGCTTTCAGCGAACAAAGAGAGTGCATCGTCGTCATCATGATGATCATAGCTGTAGTTATTCTTAGAGGTGACAGCATGCATGTCGTCTTCAAAAAATTCGTCTCTCGGAACTTTAGCGTTCGCACTCGAAGCATAGTTCTCAAGATTTATTGATGATTTCCTAAGAGGAAGAGGTCTAGGTTCCACAAAGTCCTTTTCAGGAGCCTTGGTAGTTTCTTTAACCAGAGTTGGTGGCGTATCTTTATGAACGATTTTGTTTTCTACGATTGCTCTTTCAACGATTTTAGGGATACATTCAACGGCAGCATCTTCTGTATTGTCGGGATCTAAGATATGTTTGAGACGACTACAATGTGTGATTACACCAAATTCATCATCCAAAATATCAAACATTTTGTCTTTGAATTTCACAAGGTTTGCGTTATTCTGTTCATTATCTGAGCTAATCCAATTTATTATTTCCATATCTAACTTCTCTACTAACATAATTAGTGTGTCAGTTATTTTAGTATAATCCTTAGAGTTTTGTTTATTGATATCGTCTGGGATGCGGCTACTAGGCTGAGAGGAGGTGCTTAGATTGATGGAGTTACCATCTATTATGTCATTTATGGGATCAGAATAATTTTCCTCGCTGTCCGAATCATCAGAATCAGAGAAGTCTGATGAAGAGTCATCAGAGTCAATTGGATCAGCCGGTGGAACAACTTCTGTACGGTTCTGAAGCTGTTGGGTACTTGTTAGTTTGTTTGTAATGTCATTATCAATATTATTGAGAACTAACATTGGTAACTTCTTATTGATACGGACAAAATCATTGGAACATGCTGTAATACACGTTGTGTTGCTCGAGCTAGATATATCTTTAGTCCACGACAGGTTAGAGCAACTGCTGACAGATGTCTTTCTGGAATCTATCGGTGCTGAGTTGCATTGCTGGGCATTTTCGGTTTCTGTGTCTATTTTTGCCGATGTTTTGGGTTGGTCAGGTATTGGAGGTAATTTATTAGAAGGGTCTGCGTTTTCTTGCTTACCTTTGGATCCTCTCCTGAGTGCAACACGGCACTTTGGTGCTGGTTTATTGGCTCTAGGCCGCAGTGGTTTCACTGCAGATCTACCTCTCCTTGCCGCAGGTTTAACCTGCGGCAAGGAGGTATTGGGTATTGGTTTACTGTCAGGTACAATCTCATCATCATCAGCAATAGGTTTTTCTGGTATTATTTCAGTTTTTGGTAATTTAGTGTCTACTTTTGCTTTTTTTGAAGATGTCGGTTGACTATTGGCTGTTGAGTCAGCCAACCTTTTTCTAGTGACTGAAAAAAATTATAATAATTACAAAAAATATTACGCAAATATTAGACAATACTAAAATTTTAAGATAGAATATTTACCAATTCTTCTTGTAATTGTTGGTTTGGTAGGTACTTTTATTTTTTGAGATTTAGTATCAGTTGAAGTCACAATGTTTTCTGTAAAAGAAATAATACAGAAGATAACATTACACTGAAAAATAATTTGGAAGATTTGAAATTGATTCTTCATCTGAGCAAGGATTTTTTAACATTCCGATTTTCGAATTCTCTTATCGGGATTCTTTAATGGTCGCAAGTGCGACTGCCAGGCAAGGGGTCTCGGGTTCGATTCCCGAGTCGGGCATAGTATTACTGGAGTCTGGAATTGTGCCCGGTATATGGCAATAGGCTCACCCCCTATTAAATGGGACTCATAACATATATAGTGAAAAGTGGGTGCCACATAGTACAGTGGCATAATGTCTCCCTCCCGCCTCACCCGAATAGCCATTCAATGATTTTCTCCCCTTAAAAAAAAAATAAAAAGAAATAAAATGCGTGATTTTATGTGGTGTATTCTATTATTAAAAAAAACTGGGGATAAAAGGATGTCCCATCACTGCCATCACCATGGACTAAAAGATATGATAACAAACCTGCATTATTGTCCATATGCTCCATAGCTACGTCTTCATCGTAATAGTCAGTATTTTTTCTTTTTCTTCCTTTTTTCATTGGTTTTTGAATTATAACTATATTGTCTAACTGAAATATTGGTGGTTCTTCCTTAATTAGTTGTTGTCTTGCAACTGGAAGAAATTTCATGTGTTGATTTAAATGATTAGGTATTAAAGATTATTTTGTGGATAACATACATTATTAAAAATGTAAAAAAAAACTTAAACGGTCATAATATACCTGTATTTGCGAGATCTAATTGAGTTTTTGTATCCAAGTGCTTCTTGAACTGGGGAGGTCGCTTCCCTCGAACAATCGGGAAGTGAATTCCTTCTTCTATAAGAATAATTAATATAATAGTATATTATTTTATTAAGGACGGGGACCTACTTGAGGGTAAACTTCTGAATTCATAATGGGTGAAAAGATAGTACCTATATAAATAAAAGTCAATTACAGTTGTTAGTCTCGCTAAGACTTAAGAACGGCTGAACCTATTTGACTAATTTTAATCTTGACTTGTCCATGGAAGTTCAGGAGAGGTTTAAATGGTGAGAAAAATAATGTTTGAGGTGGTACGAAGTTTTCTGGGCGGCTAGTTAATAATAATTTTACTTTAGTTCTTATTTTGTAGAATATGTGATATCAAAAGAAAAACATGTTTGCAAAACAATGTCTAGTGTGTTCTAGGTACACTAGACAAGATGAAAATGCAAATCTATCATTTATAATCTCATCATTGACGTACAAATCATAAGAAAATTTTTTCAAAGAACTTTAATAATGAAACCTTGTTGTTTTAAGGTTAAATAACTTTAACACGTCGTGTTCGAGTGTTATTCGTTCTTAGAAGTTTTCCAAGAAATATGAGACTGTAGGTACAGGCAAGCTTTATTTATTTCTGCAGACTGTGCAAACTGTTCACTCACCTGTGTTCCCAATGTTATTCCGTATAGGTATGCTAACTTTAATGTTGGTAGGCATATTGAATTCAGGTTTTTCTTTCTTGTTTTGTAGTTTTTCTGTACTCTTTCTCTTAGATCGCTGATTTTTAACACTTTTTTTAGGTGACATTTTTGTAAAATGATGAAAACGTTAGGTGCATGAAATGGTTTTCAGTTGATACAAATTATTCGTAAAATTATGATTTATGAAACTGCTTTGCTTTTTACAATCTTACACGTAAGTTTTTCCTTCGGTGTTATTTTGATTTAAAAATTAAGGTTATGAAAATAAAATTATCTTAGCTACACTGCGCCGAACGAAATGCAAAAGTTGTAACTTGCAAAACAGCAGTCTCAAATAGTCTCAATTTCTCAAACTGGCACTCGCACATTGGATACTGCCTAGTGTTGCACCTGTATATATTTCATTTAGTCGATTATTTTGAGCTTTTACCATGAAAAGTTCTGGATTATCTGTGGAACCAGTATTGATAATTTTGACTTTGGTTAGAGGTCATCCAGGTTATTTACGTCAGAGGAGAGGAAAGCTGAAGCTGTTGTTTGCAGAGATTTTTGCCGGTTTAAAATTTTAATTAATTAACTCAAGATGCCTGGAAAATACAAGGTTGTAATGATTCGCCATGGTGAAAGTGAATGGAACAAGAAAAACCTATTCTGTGGATGGTTTGATTCTGACCTTAGTGACAAGGGTAAGTTCAAAATTTTATTCACTCACGATTTGTAATTTTTAGATGTAGGAAAATGCTAATACATGCCGTATCTATACATTTTCCAGGACGTGAAGAAGCTAGTGCTGCTGGAAAAGCTTTGAAATCTGAAGGCTATGAATTTGACATTGCTTACACTTCGATGCTGAAACGCGCTCAAATCACTTTGAACACTATCTTACAAGAGATTGGCCAGACTGATTTACCTATCGAGAAGACTTGGCGCCTGAACGAAAGGCACTACGGTGGACTTACTGGTCTTAACAAAGCTGAGACTGCTGCAAAGTATGGTGAAGCCCAGGTATCTAAGTCATACACAATCAATCACTACTAATACTACGAGTCAAAGGTGTAATAATAGTTGGTTCAAGTTTGTCAGTTTATTGTCTGTAGAGTCCTTTATTTGACCTAACAAATATATCAGAAAATACAATTTGTACTTTTAGTCTAAATCTAGATAGCTGCCACAATCACCATTGTATGTATTTAGTAATGATTTATTTGAATTGCTGTTGGTATAAAAACTATATGGTTACAAAACAATCTACAATTTAAACTGTCAAACACAAAGCAGTCACAGGTGACCGCAACCTATTGTTTTTTAAACTGTCAAACACCAAGCAGTCACCGGTGACCGCAACCTATTGTTCTATAATTGTGTCTACAAAACCGGTACTCGACGAGTTAATTGTGTCTATAATGACGGTACTCAACGAGTTAATGTTTCCTTCTTCTATCTATTGGTGTGCTGTGCAAGTCAACTATTAAAGTTTGTTGAAAATGATAAAAACGAAAGCATCCAAACATACCAATAAATGTGTATCAGTTACTTAACTATAACTTTGAAGGATTGTCCATCCAGTCTTGAAATACAACTAGCTCCGAATTACATAATATAATAAAAAAGCAAGGGATAAAACTACAATTATACACAAATTAATCCCTAATTATTTCATTCCACAGATCCACATCTGGCGCCGTAGCTTCGATGTCCCCCCACCACCAATGGAGAAGGACCATCCTTACTATGAAACTATTGTGAATGATCCCCGCTATGCCGAGGAGCCGAAGAAGGATGAGTTCCCCAGCCATGAGAGCTTGAAACTGACCATTGAGAGAGCTCTGCCCTACTGGAATAATGTTATTGTACCTCAGGTAATAATAATAATCTTTGCTAAGAGCTGCAAAAAATAGGGTAGACAGGTGGTTTTATCGTTAAAAGCAATATCTTCCAAGCAACATGTGGGTGGATAGAACACTATTGTAAATGATATTTCATTTCATTAATAAATGAGGGAGATATTATTATTTGTACAAACTTTGTACTGAAGATACAAGACTTTAGATGCTGTGAGTCTATTGCACAACTGCAACAGGTTGTGTTGTAACTGAGAATTTTCGTAAAACTGAAGAAACTCCAATAGTGTTCTGCCTAACTTTGGGGTACCTATAAAATATTTAAAAACTGGCCTGCCAGATTATCATGGTTCAAGGCTAACTTAGGCGAGATACTGTTTACTTTGTTCTTTATTGTAGTCAATAAAAATTACTGATAAAATATGATAGTAACATTATTTATTTCGTATTATTTACTGATAAAATAACTATAGGAAGACATTCATGACATTATTATGGTCTTATGTTTTCAGATCAAAGCTGGAAAGAGGATCATTATCGCTGCCCACGGCAACAGCCTCAGGGGTATTGTGAAGCATTTAGATGGTATGTTTTATTACATTTTACAATTTATGTACATTATTTATAACTTTTAAAATACATAAACATGCAAAATTATTCTTGAGTTGCATGTAATGACCCCGTTGCCATTAAATTACTGCCTACACAATTTAAGTCACCTAAAATTTTACATTTGAATTATTTAATTTTCAGGTCTTAGTGACCAGGCCATCATGGAACTGAACCTCCCGACTGGTATTCCCTTCGTCTATGAATTGGATGAGGACATGAAACCAGTTGATTCCATGGTCTTCCTTGGTGATGAAGAAACTGTAAGGAAAGCTATGGAATCTGTTGCCAACCAAGGCAAAGCCAAGTAAATTTAAGTTAAATAAGTTATTTATTTTGTTAGTCATTCAAAATTATGATTCCTGTTGAGATTGTTATATAGAATCTAATTTATGTACTGAGTATATGGACAATTTTATTTCAATTATAAGAAAAAGTTTGTTAAGGAATCTCTAATGAATGTTAAAATTTAACAACAAAGCTCCGAGTCAAAGAGATTCTTTTGGATGTATGCCAGCATACAGTCTAGTTGTTACCACTTTAATATTTATCGTAGAATGTTTGTGGGCTTACAATAAAAACATATTTAAACATTATTTATTTCTTTTATTCCGGTAAACTTTCCTTCAAATCGGCCATTACTTCATCCATGTTGACATCTTTAGAAGTCTTCGTGTCATTTTTCGTGAATTTCTTGCCGCAGTATTTTGCAAATGTCCTATTTTTGCTTGTAGTTAGGACTACTTTCTTTTTCACGTCGCTTGACGTTTCACCATCGTGTTCCATCGACTGATCGTTACTGCCAGAAGTCTGTTTTGATTTGCCCTTCTTCTTGCCTTTGTGACATGGTTTCGTGTCGAACCGAAATTCTTTTGGTAACTTGTGTTCGTCGACGCAATGTTGTAATCTGTCATTAGCTGTCATGAACTTCTGTGGGCATTCTTGTATGTAGCAGGAATACTGTGAAATAATAATTTTACAAGATTTAGTAACAAACATAACATAACATCACGCCTTTTATCCCCGAAGGGGTAGGCAGATGTGCACATTATGCCACTGTACAATATAACACCCACTTTTCACTATTTATGTTATGAGTCACAATTCCAGACTCCGTGCTACTACTGAGAATTTTTTATAAACCTTGCCCGGCAGTCGCACTTGCGACCACTCGGCCAACGAGCCAGTCTGTATTTAGTAACTACGTTAGGTATATTTTCATTCACTAAAGTGCCTATATAGTAAAGAGTAAAGTCTTCCAAATTCAATCGGTGTTGCAATAAAATGTTATCGATTGTTATGAATTGTTTTCGGTCTAGTGACTACATCTCTGCCATCGGCTTATTAAATTTAAAATGTAATGGAATGTTCTGGTATGTTTTTTTTGTTTCATCTACCACTGAACAATCTTTTTATTGATTGACACTTCATTTCTACTGGCTACAACCGCGCTAATTCAACCGCTGCTCCGCTTCTATTGATCGTAGTGTGATATTTTAGAGCCTATAATCTTCTTCTAATTAAAAAATTCTGGGCTATACATAAAAAAAAAATATTTCCGGAGATATACGTGATCAAAAATAAACTCTTTAGCTTCAGGTATAAAAAGTACTATTTATATGAAAAAATGTGATTGTCTTACCGAAGGCTTTTTCTCGGATAACACAGCGAAAAAGGAGTCGTGTGTCTCTTGAATGTGCAAGTCCAGCAAATGAGGAGTGGGTAGAATCTTTTTGCATTGTGAACAGCTGTACCTGTGAGCTGAGTTGTAGTGGTTCTCAAAATCCAATATAGTTTCCGTTTTGAATGAGCACCCTGGTATGGTGCAAGTTGATACTACCCTGAAATGAAAAAACAAATACTTAAATAGTTGAAGAGTTCTTCAGTAAAGGTTGGTTGTATAATATTATTCAACGAAGAGTAAATAAATCGATCTTTAGCACTACAAAATTATAAAATCGTTTTTAATTTATAAGCTATTTTTTTAAATTTCACTTCATACCACGCAAATCCTGAAATGTAAAAAGCCGGAGAGGTCGTCCACTACAAATTTGGCAGCATTGGCAATGATACATACATAACATCACGCCTTTTATCCCCGAAGGGGTAGGCAGAGGTGCACACAGAAGTAACACCCACTTTTCACTATTTATGTTATGAGTCCCATGTAATATTGGCAATGAAAAAGGCTTTTATTCAGCTTTAACCAGACGCTTGGCAACGCTACAATAAACGAGTTATTAATTAAAACCTTATGGAAACGCCTTTATTTTAATTTACCTTGCAAACCTACGTCTGATATCTAATGTTTTATAACGGTACAGCCTACTTAACTATACGCAACGCGATACGCAATAAATTAAACCTGTTGGTAAGTGCAAAACTCGAGAACAACTGCCTCGATTCGCTATTGTACTCCAATCAAGGTCTTTTTAGAACGACAAAATCCTCTGAATTGTTTCTGTAACTGTTATTAAGATATTCCAGTTTTGTTGAATGCAAGGATTGGCCGCAAAAAGCTTTACATAGAGAGGAGTGGAAGGAGGGTAGGGAGGCCTTTGCCCTGCAGTGGGACGATCATGGCTGAAAATAAATAATAATAAATAATAAAGGAAATAACATAGAAGATACAATCGAGAAAATTTTGATGAGTAAGCCGTTGCTTTCAAGCTATAAAAATACTATTTTCGGTATCTGTTATACGTGTCAATAACCGATTAATGCGTTACATGTTTACTTTGGCCTTCAGACGGACGCTATTAGTTACCAAACTGCAGCACGGAAATGGGTGATAAAACCTGACCTCAAATCAATGAAAATGTTCGTTTCTTCAGATCTAATAAAGCTCAAATTGAAGAATTCAAGTTAAGTGGAATTATGTAGGACCTTTGTATGAGTCATAATAAATTCTGCGAAAAATTCGATAATGCTTTGCGCCAAATACCGTTACACCTTGATTATGGGACTTTTTATATGCACAAGAAAGGGAGGCCAAGAAACGTTTCAGTAATTTGAGCCCGGGGGCCGCAAGTGAGAATTTATTAATCAACTGCAATTATGAAATCAAAAATGACGATATACTTATTTATTATATAAATAAGAGGACAAGAAAATAAAATAAGAAATGACTAGTTAGCTAGATTTTTCTCTTTTAGCTACGATACCCGAATGTTTCGTTCACATAGATATATGTAGATGCGAAATCTGAAATACAACAGAACATAGGAACTCTAAGTGGGGCAATCAAAAAGGTCTCGGCGGGCCCCGTGCGGGCTGCTGGCCGTTATAGTATGTTGAGGTATATACTGGATCTGATTGATCACTAGTAGTTGAAGAACGAGGTAGTCTCCAGACACAGATAATGGCGCGTTATATAACACGGCGAATAAAATTACACGACTCAAGACGTCTGTGGCCTTGCTTTTTATTACATGTCATGTGAAGCGAGTATAAAATTATATCTGTATTAGAAGTATCTATGCATACAATAAATTGGTAGTGTTTTTAATTATTTAATATGCTTTATACACAGAACAATAGGTAGACTTAGTCGGAATACTGAAACGTTACTCAATTTTAAGTCACGCTTAAGTATAGTTCTGTCACCACTAATTCTTTGTAAAATGACAGAGATGGTACGATACATATTTGAGCACGACTTAAAATTGAGTAACGTTTCAGTATTCCGGCATTAATGCAGTAAAACTTTTAGTTTATATATTTGGAATAATCCCTCTTTCCGGCAGATGTTGTATCTAAGACCCAAAATATTAAGGAACATTTGACAGAAACAGGGCAGCAGTTTTTGTATAATGACTTTTAAAGTGCGGTCTTCAGTCTACCTTTTATGTAAAAAGGTGTCCCTTTCTATAGATGTTGTATGTTGTTGGTTTTTAATAGTGAGATAAAAATACACTAATTTATGGTTGATTTATGAATAAGTATATTAAATTCTACAAATAATAGTTTCAATGGTTAATACTACAAGATAATTTGATTTTACTTGTACGAGTTGACCGGCGATTGCGTACTACTACTGAACGTAAAATTCTATGCATTTTATAAAAATGTTTCCACGTAAAATGCTGAGCTGTTCGGTTGCGTTGCTCCGAACATTCTAAGAGTCACTTATGTAGAGACGTAGAGGAGGCTTATAGTCTAGTAAAACCCAGATTGTGGTATAATTAAAATGCATTATTAAAAAACTTACAAATCATGGCAGAAGATTTCTTCATCGAAGTCGTATATGCCAAGTCTGGGAGGCGGTTTGTCGTTCACAAAGAGAACATCATCCAGTTTGCGTTCACCGACTCCGTACAATTGTAATTTATCGAGCAAGTTATTGCTGACGTCCATTCTGAAAAGATAATTGTAACATCTGTAGAAGGTAAACCTCATTAGTAGGGAAGCGAAAACCCAATGAAACAATGTGCATAGGTACTTATAATCTTCTATTTTAAAGTTACGACCATTAGATTAAATATCTTGTTATCACTAAGTAATCTAGAGGCAAAAGTCAAGGTTGGCTATAGCAATCCAATGAGTAAACACTTTGCAATGGTGTTTGAACGACATACAAAGTGTAGTTACACTATATGACATCTACGTATCTAGGTATATAAATAAACATTAATTTTCTGTTCATAAGTCTCGCTCAAGTCGAGAACGGCTGAACCGATTTGTCTAATTTTGGTTTTGAAATGTTTGTGGAAGTACAGGAAAGGATTTCAAAGGTGAGAAACATTTTTTTAGGTGGTACGAAGTTTGCAGAGTCCCCGTTTATTTGAAATAATCTTTATAGCTACCTAGCTTATAAATATTTAACACTAGCTTTTACCCGCGGCTTCGCTCGCGTCTCAAAAGGATAAAAAGTAGCCTATGTGACATATACCAATACACACAGCGCCATCTATACCAATACTTTCGTTTTCCCTCGGGAAAATCAATTTTTTCCGGGATAAAAAGTACCCTATTATTTAATCCGGACTTCTAACTTTACGTCAGCAAAAATTCAAAGCAATCGGTTTAGTGTAGTATGTTGTAACATACACTGACAAAGTAGTATTTGTATTTATTGGTACTTAAATTGCAATTTATATGATATACTAGCGACCCGCCCCGTCTTCGCACGGGTGCAATATACATGTATAATTTACACATAAACCTTCCTTAAGAATCACACTATCTATTAAAAAAGACAGCATCAAAATCTGTTGCGTAGTTTTAAAGATTTAAGCATACATAGGGACAGACGGACGGCGGATAGCGACTTTGTTTTATACTATGTAATGATGTATATGAAATTTCTAAGGTTATTTAGACACCACAGACAAACAGTGAAGGAAAACATCGTGAGGAGACCTGGGCTTATAATTTCTAATTGTAAATTTGAAATCGCCAACCCGCATTGAGCAAGCTTGGTGATTAATGCTTAAACTATCTCCATGTGAGAGGAGGCTTTACTCGGCAGTGGGCATTTATAGGCTGTTGATGATGATGATGATGATGCAATTTCGGTATAAAGGAAAAAGATTTGATACTAGTAATCACGGAATATAGAAACTAGGTATAAATAATTTGATGTGCAATAATAAAAGAAGACATAAAAGCAAAATTTTAAGTCAGTGTCTGACAATACCTTGCGTCTTTCGCACGACGAAGAAACGGTACTCTATAAGATGGTAAAATATGCATTTATGACTATGATATAGGGATAACAAGAGCATAAGCGCGCCTAGCATCACTGACAGACAGACAGACGAACAATTCAATTTTCGACGTTTCAAAAGTGCCTAATTAAGGATTACAT